TCTGTGTGTGTGTGTGTGTGTGTGTGTGTGTGTGTGTGTGTGTGTGTGTGTGTGTGTGTGTGTGTGTGTGTGTGTGTGTTTGTGTGTATTTAAGTGATAGAATTTTTCGGGATTAGAATAATCATTATACTAATTTGTCGAATGTAGAAGAAACCACAACTGAATGCAGAAAGCAGTTTTGGACGGCCGTTTCATCCTGTTTTGGGACTCATCAGTAGTGTGCATCCACTAGCAAGAATCGAAGTCGGACCGTTACGATACGTACCACTGGACAAACGGACCTCGGTGACGAAGAAGAAACTGACTAGACTCGATACAGCGCTGCTACTCGCAAATTCCATAGTGATACTCATCCAAGTATTCATAATCAAACGGGCAGTGCTCCAAGAGTAACGTCTTCCGTCCCCTTCGCCACTACATTTCAGAACCTTAGCTGGGACAAACAAGGATACACAAGTAATAGAATTTTCGGGGATTAGAATAATCATTATAGTAATTCTATCACTTGTATAACTTTAGACTCGATGAATTATTATAATATATATATATATATATATATATATATATATATATATATATATATATATATATTTATACACGTTTCATTAAATAATATAGACAAGTGTTGTCTATTTATTTTATGTAAAATTTTTTCGTATCTTCTGATAAGTTTGGTAACATTATCATTTACCGAAAAAGAAATTCACAATATTTATCCATTATTTTTTTAATAAAATCTAAGCTTTCGGCTTACTCAAGCCATTATCAAAGATATAAATACAAACATATCAAACAATATATGGACACGACAGTGATGATATAGTCTGTCATTGTTATGTTTACATAGTGGATCACTAAGCAACGATGAACACGCGCATATAAGACGCTAGAAGCGAAAATCGCACGCATCTCATGACGTCACACATGACTACACGAGAGTGAATTGGAGAATGAAATAAGGAAAGCCGTTGGTATAACCAATGGCTTCTGTTACAATTATTGAAATTATAGACATTTAAGAATATTTGTAGAGATTCCATAGTTGATTTTGTTTAGGTTGGGTTTTAACTGTTTGATGTATAATGCTTCAAGTATTTTTAGTTTTTGTCTATTGTTTTCATGTCGAAGTATAGTTGTGTTTTCGACAAGTATTTTACGGAATTGTGTGTGCGGGCAGGCATGTTGTTTTAAATGCCTAAAATGTTAGAGTTTTCATTAAGATGTAGTGTCAAGCGTCGTGAAAGCGAGTTTGTGGTGTGACCAACATAAATATTATTTAATTCGTTGGAGATACACTCTCCCAAAGGGCACTTGAATTTATAAACTATGTTGGTTTTTTGCAAATCGCTAACCGGGGGAGAAGATTTGCAAAAAACCAACATAGTTTATAAATTCAAGTTATAGCTATACTTCGACATGAAAACAATAGACAAAAACTAAAAATACTTGAAGCATTATACATCAAACAGTTAAAACCCAACCTAAACAAAATCAACTATGGAATCTCTACAAATATTCTTAAATGTCTATAATTTCAATAATTGGTAACAGAAGCCATTGGTTATACCAACGGCTTTCCTTATTTCATTCTCCAATTCACTCTCGTGTAGTCATGTGTGACGTCATGAGATGCGGTGCGATTTTCGCTTCTAGCGTCTTATATGCGCGTGTTCATCGTTGCTTAGTGATCCACTATGTAAACATAACAATGACAGACTATATCATCACTGTCGTGTCCATATATTGTTTGATATGTTTGTATTTATATCTTTGATAATGGCTTGAGTAAGCCAAAAGCTTAGATTTTATTAAAAAATAATGGATAAATATTGTGAATTTCTTTTTTCGGTAAATGATAATGTTACCAAACTTATCAGAAGATACGAAAAAATTTTACATAAAATAAATAGACAACACTTGTCTATATTATTTAATGAAACGTGTATAAATGAAAATATGCTGCCTAAATACACACAATATATATATATATATATATATATAAAGAAATATAGTCTTAAGGAGTGCTATATTTATGGGATAAAGTGCTCAATATCAGAGATAGAGCGTGTGAATATAAAAGTGAACATAGAAGTCAACACTTAGAGTCTGTTTCCTCCGATGAATCCCTATTTAACAAAGCTAAAAAAGACTATGAAACGGCCCTAAAAGATAGCGGATTCCAAGCAATACTCACATACTCACCACAGAATACAAAAAAGACCAACAGGAGAAGAAATATCATATGGTTCAACCCACCGTACAGCAAGAACGTAAAAACAAATGTAGGAAAAATATTCTTCAAACTCTTACACAAACACTTCCCAGAATCAAGCACCTTACACAAGATATTCAACAAAAATACAGTAAAAATCAGCTACAGCTGCACCGAGAGCATGGCACAAATAATAAAAAAGCACAATAGGAAAATTATCAACAAACCACACGAACAAATTAAACCCACGTGCAACTGCAGAATAAAGAACGAATGTCCCTTAAACGGAAATTGTCTACAAAACAACGTAATATACCAAGCCACGATAAAATCACCAGATAACGAAGAAAAAGTATACATAGGAGTAACTGAAGGACCCTGGAAGCAAAGAAATTATACACACAAAACATCGTTCACAAATAGTAAATATGCGAACAGTACTATGTTTTTCTAAGTATATCTGGGAAATAAAAAACAAAACGCACATCACACCAAAAATATCTTGGAAGATAAGGAAAAAAAGTCATCAGCCTACAACAACCAATCAAAAACTTGCAAACTTTGCTTGGAGGAAAAAAATAGCTATCATTACTTTCCCCGACCAAAATAAATTATTAAATAAAAGATCCGAGCTCATCTCAAAATGCAGGCATGAAAATAAATTTTTACTACGTAACCTAAAAAATGAAAAAACGGAAAAATAAAATAAAAACAAATACAATAATAATAATAAAAAAAATAAATAAATAAAATAAATAAATAAATACTATGTTGCTTAAAAACCGAAAACCAAAAAGAGAAAATATAAAAATAAATTGACCTAAATTCATCCAAGTAAATAAATAGGCAAACCAATCCCAAATTAAAAAACTGTTCCCGCCAAAAAAATAATAGTTAGAATGAACTACAACAACCAAACAAAACTGTTAAATACGTGATATAAACAAATTTTTACTACGTTAATAAATAAATAAATAAAATAAGAAATAAAAAAATAAATAAAATAAAATAAAAAAATAAATAAAAACGAGCAATATAACTTGACCCAAATAAATGAACAAAGCGACTTCCGGTAAAAATAACCGCCATAATAGAATACCCACAATGCACCACTAACCCGTATATATATAAATAGCCGAGAAAAATAACAGCACACGTGGCCTGACGATTGTATATAGCATGAAACAGACTGTCGCCTCCAAGTGTTGACTTCTATGTTCACTTTTATATATATATATATATATATATATATATATATATAAAGAAGAACTTGGTAATCCGTATGGGTAATCCCAAGGAGGATGAAATCATGAGAGCTCAGTGTAAATCCAGAGCTAATATTTAAAAGAAAAACAGGTACCATTATATAATTTATTTCACCAGAACCCTTTTAAAGGACGGTGGATAATCAGATAGCACTTCCAAAAATGAAATGAAACGAAAAATGAAATTAAAATTGATGGGTAGTGTAAGTTTTTGTAATTTAACAGAGAGCGTAAAAAGAGTAGTTAAAGAGACATGGTAGAGTATAAGGAGGGATTAATTTCATATCTCTCTCAAGCATACTTAGTATTGGGGGATGAGGAGTGACCAGACGATGACCTATTTAGACGGTTAACTTAACGGAAGTGATATATTGAAATGGGAGGGGAGTAGGGAGAAAAGAAAAAGGAAAAAGAAAGAAGAGGGAGAGGGAAATAAAGAGAAAGAGGCTGTAATTGGGTTTTAGCAATTTATGTAAAGAATAGATTTTAATGCTTGATAGTAATTTAGATGTTTAAAAAACCCGTGTGTGTGTGTGTGTGTTATTATTTCAGTTGCATGGAAGTAGTTTCTAATATCGATACAACTTATGTTAGCCCTATCACATATTGAGCATTAGTACCGTGTATATATATATATATATATATATATATATATATATATATATATATATATATATATATATATATGTGTGATCCAAAAATGCACTGAAGAATTGAATAATGTCCTGACTAACTGAATACTTATTCAAGGCTGCTCATATCTATCTATCTATCTATCTATCTATCTATCTATCTATCTATCTATCTGTTTAGTCATAGAAGATAAATTTATTTATTAGGAAATCAATAAATTTTCGACTTCTGTAGCTTTCGTCATTGAATAGATTTGTTTGAACTGGGTTAAATTTCATATCAGTGTGGAGAAAAAATAATTGGGGAGTGGATATCCGATGCCGTGACAAAAAAGATTTTGTATTTTGGCACTGAGTTCATTAATATCTATCTCTCTTTAAAAGCACCTGTCAATATCTATAATTCAACTTTATTGAGCTACCACATGTCAACTAAATACATACATACATACATACATACATACATACATACATATATATATATATATATATATATATATATATATGTAAACTTTTTATATTATATAAAGTTTACACGTCGATATGAAATCTCACTCTCTCTCTCTGTATCCATATATATATATATATATATATATATATATATATATATATATACATGTATATTTATATATATATGTATGTGTATATTTATATATATCTCAGCGTTGCTTAACTTCGGTGATCGTACTACTAAAATCGGCATTTCAACATGATATGACTGTAAGGCCTTTATACTACTCGCACATCCAAGCTTACAACCCTGGCATTCCCAAGCGGTCACTCATGTAGGTACTGAACAGGTTCGACGTTGCTTATTTTCGGCGATCGTACAAGAACTGTTGTTTCAACTTGGTATGGCTATAAGGCCTTTATGCTACCCGCACATCCACGCTTGCAACACCAGGTGTTCCCAAATGGACACTCGTCTAGATACGCACCAAGCTCGACGTTGCTTAACTTCGGTGATCGTACAAGAACCGGTGTTTCAACATGATATTGCTGTAAGGCCCTTATACTACTCGCACATCCAACCTTACAACACCTGGCATTCCAAAGCGGTCACCCATCCAGGTACTGACCAAGGTCAACGTTGCTTAACTTCGGTGATCTTAAGAGAACCAGTGTTTCATCATGATATGGTCGTGAGCTGCATCATAAAGAGACTGTCTCTACCCTAACCGACCACAGGTTTAAACTGAAAGAAGCCAAAAGCTCGAACGGGAAAATGAAAAAAAAAATTACTTTGATGTTATTTTTCGTTATTATAATGTTTAGAACAGTCCTGGAGAGCCTAGTAAAAGGACTGGAATATTTTAGTTTCGAGAGGAACAGTAATTAATATGGACGGCAAGTTTTCGTTAGGATTTTGTTCAATACTTGCTAAATCTGCTTAAATCCAGTGAGATGTATCGTTGGAAAAAACAGCAAAATGAATGAATTTTAGTTAAATCTAGATATATAAAATAAAGGATGCCTGTCTGTCTGCGTGGTGCCTCGAGCTCCGTCGAACCGATTTTGACCAAACTTGGCACATACATTATACAATGGAAGAGATAGGTTTTTAGTGTAAAAATCGATAATTTAAAAAAAAGAGTCAATAATCGATAAAGCCGATCAAAATAAATTCAACCTTTTTCCTCCGATTTCGTTCAAACATGGTGTGTAGTTTACTTACATCATCATGAGCTCAACGATACCTCATTTTTGTTTTTATGCCACAGCGTTTAGCGAAAAACCGTGAAAAACGATGAATCGATTTCAACTCAAAGCGATTTCAACAAAAATTTTAAACTAAAATTTACTTCAATTTTCAAGCAATCTGATAGAAACTTCACTCATTTGTAGCCAACAATAAGTTGATTGTTTAACAGTAATTTAACTTGATAATTGATTCAAACCATATAGTGAAAACCCGCGTAAATAGCAAAAAATGGCCATTTTTACGAGTTTCTTTCTTATTTTTCGGTGATTTTTTCAACCAATTTTCATCAAAATTCCTGGTAACACATTGACAAATTTAATTTCAAAAACTCCAAAATAATTATGGTCTGAAGTGGGTATTCATGTTGTCTGTTTTACCCCTTCATGTCCTCTGTTAACTTTGATTGAATAAATACTACTTCTGTTATATCAGTAACTGCATTAATTCAAAATCTTTCTTTTAATTAAATAACTTTAAAGTAATTGAGTAAGATGCTGTTTTTGCTCCATTTTAATTGAACGCTTTTCCTGATCGACCAGCTGGGTATGGCTGCTAGTATATAATAAAATAATCAGATAATAAATTTCTTATTTAAAATATTCTCTAATAAGTTATTGCACACACTCACTAGCATCATCTCCATCTTTTGTTTTACTTCAGTTCACTTAATACTGGGTCCATGAGCAAATATGTTACAGGTTTACTGAGTAGGATTGTTGTAAGGACATAAGGGAGGTGGAAAGAAAAGATAAATGGTTTATACTATGAAGATTTATAGGACAGATATCGCTTGAACCTAAACTCGATGGGGTTAAAATTTTAGTAGCCTGGGAAGCATTGTCTCGGGAGCCTATTTCACAGCGTAACAGTTCTGGGGAAGAATCTGTCTGAATGAAAATTACTCTTTACCAAATGACTACAAAAGTGATGAGGATTATTTGACACCATGAACATAACATGCTATAGGATAGCTTGTTTGAACATTGGAAAAGTAATAGAGTATTGAGAGGGAGGCTAGCAACATTTCGGCTATGAAATAAATGTTGCAGGATGGAAAAAAACAAAACAAAAAAAACCTTTTTCTCTTTACATTGGTCTTCTTTGATATCATATTAATATTTGAACATATATTTTAAGTCCGACAACTATTTTAATATATTTTATCGTTATATATATATATATATATATATACAAATAAGAAAGTAAATGCTCTGTTTATGAGGAGTATTACCGACTTGATTGTCCAAGAAATCTCATAGAAAATACGCGTCCTCCGACAGGAATCGAATCTGTATCCTACACAGAATGTCATATAGCCTGGCGTGCTCTACCAGTTTAGCTACGAAGGAGCGTCTGATTAGCAAAATCGATTTTATTGATTTTAAACTACAAATTACCCATGATTTGCCTCGATCGTCCATATCTGCACGAAGCGTATCTTAACTGATACAAATGCAGTCACACACTACGAGATGGACAATGTCCGACAATTATTTTAATATATTTTATTGTTATACGTTACATATATAGACACACATATTTAAGTAAAAGCTATGTTTATAATAAACATTATTAACAACATTTAATGGCCTGGATGTCCGAAAAATCTCATAGAAAATATGCGTCCTCCGGCAGGAATCGAACTTGTATCCTACACGGAACCGTCATATAGCCTGACGTGCTTTACCAGTTTAGCTACGAAGGAGCGTCTGGTTAGTGAGGTCAATTTTACGGATTTTATACTATTAAACAGGCCGGTAAATGTTTCTAATTCTGTTTAATTAAGTTAGCCACCTTTGTACACATTTATTTTTGTTTCTATATTTTGTCATGTAGAAACCCTTTCAGCACGTGTCGAATGTTATTACATTGTATTATACTGTAACTTCATGTAAACTTTTTTCCTATGTGTAGACATCTGAAATCCGAAGACGGACTGGAATAGCCGAAGATGCCTCCCTAAAGTTAAGCAAAGTATTAAGAAACAGAAAGATTTCGTTAGAAACAAAGAAAAAAGTACTGAACTGTTACGTGACATCAGTCCTCAAATATGACAGTGAATGATCCAGGCTCATTGACCAGGGAGTGAAGAAAAGCCTAATTCAAGTAGTACTAGCTGCTCAATCAATAAATGTCCAATATTTCTTTATAGGGGAACGGCTATGATTTTCATTACTGTTACAGATGAGTGGGTGCTGATACTACACTTAGATCTCGGTCCGTTGGCCAGAGAGTAAAGAAAAGCGTAATTCGTGTAACACTGGCTGCTTTGTAAATGAATACCCAATATTTCTTGATAAGGAAACGGCGAATATTTGGTTTTCCATTACCAATATGGTTGGGTCTTGGATGACTTTAAATTTAAGGCTTGGATCATTAAATAAGGTTAGCTCTAGACTATTTTTGTCATTTTAATCTAGTTTAAACTAAAACTCATTCTTAGTAAATAGAACTGAAGACCGTTGATTTTGAAGTATACCGGAATTGATCCTCACTTGCTGGCACTCAATCTTGCCAACATGCACGATAAAAACAGTAATTCCAAGACTCAGACTTTTGATTATATCGTATCTGAAGAAATATGGAAAATTTCTGCTTGATAGCTCAAAAGAAATAAATATGAACAGCTCACCGGATCGATTAGAACGATCGATCAACAGAGGAATCTATCGATGGTATACAAAGCAAAGAGCTATTCGATTACCAAACTAATGACCGAGAAGGCATCCCGAGACACCGTTCAGTGTCCAGTGACCGAATCGGGCCATTTTAATCACCGAACGGCCCACTGCCGGAAAACGGAGAATGATAGCCTATATATAGCTTCCTGAACGCCTGATGGCTGTCCGTCACTGACTGCTGTCAGCCAATCGGCAATGACTTCCGGAACAATATTTGATCTATATATAGTATTGCATGTCAGCTTTACTCTGTAATGTTAAATAAAATACAACGAAGTGGTTACTATGTAGAAGTTACTAAAATACTCATTACAAAGGCGACTTTACAATTTCTCTCTGCCTCAGTAAACATGAAAAAATGAATAGCTATTAATGAATTTTATAAAGTTAAACTATTTAGCAATACGACTAATTGAAACTAAATATAAGATTTAAGTGTTTAAATATATATTTTTCCTGTTGGCACAGGTTGCAAATATATATATATATATATATATATATATATATATATATATATATATATATATATATATATATGCAACCTGTGCCAACAGGAAAAATAACGATTGTGATATTTCCGGATCCAAAGAACCTTTTAAACCAGAAATCCGAAGTGTTAAGTCCTTGCTTACACATGAGAAATTTTTTCTTAAGGACATATGAGCCTGGATAAAAAAAAAAAAAGTGTATTTAACTCCCCGACAACAATATATTTACAATAAATTTGCTCCTCCTTTTCTTCTTCTGTTCTTTGCTTATTCTTGTATCGTTCTTTGTTTTTTTTAATATAAAAAGCGTTAAAAGGTCATTTGATATATATATATATATATATATATATATATATACACATACGTTCATATATATATATATATATATATATATATATATATATATATATATATATATATATATTATAAATTAATTGATTTAAAATATGGTTTTTCCTCTACACAGTTCTAACCATGTTTCAAAAATGGAAAAGCCACGAATTTAATTTTGCAATTAAATTAAAGTCATTAGTACCATTTCATCCTCAAGCGAATTTTGGAGTAACTTTTAAAATTACTGGGTTTTAAAGACACAGCTAAAATCACGTTCCCATGGTTGCAGATAAATCTACTTCAAAGCTGAAATTTTGAATTCTGAGGTTTGCATGTTTTGTCTTGGTTACTGAAGATGGGCTACAGTAAATATTCTATTCAGTTTCATAGATTTGCTTGTCAATTGTCTGACCATAACCATTTGGGCATATTACCCCTAGGGATTGGGCCGCACTGTATACCCCTCTATTCATGAGCAGCAGAAGTAGGAGGGTATTATGACCGAATCAGGAGGGCATTTCCTTCTATAAGTTACGAGAATGAGTCAATCAAGTTGACATAGAATTCACATCAAGATAATTGGGAAAATTGTCTATTGGTGACCATCTGAGCCAACTGGGTGACCAAACTTGAAGCTTTTTCTTTAGGATTACGTGTTACTCTTATCAAAACCTATCACCAAATCAGGAATATTTGGTAATGATACACATGACTCGTATACCCTTCTCAGGCTGCATATAATGATGGGTATTAATATATGTTTCTATGTTTCTACTCTAGGCTCATTTTATTGGAACGCAGCCCGCTCCTATTGCAACACCTTCTGGGTATGACAATAAACTACATCCAGTAGCAAGGTCTCTGAAAGGGAGGTTTTGAGGAGCGTAGAACAGTCTGTTAAGTGCTGTTATTTCCAGATCTACACTGACCCAGGGTGGTAG